AGATCTCCTACAAAGCTAACATATACAATCATCTATGGAGACTAATCAGTGCCAATCACATTCATACACTGATGGGACACACATCAGAGGCATTGGGGTTAAGTATCTTGCACAAAGACACAACAACTGTGACAGCTAAACGGGGGATCGAGCCGGTGACCTTCAGGTTCCAGGACGACTCCCCTAACCACTCTGCCACAGCCGCCCCAAATCTGGTTAAATCTTTTTTTAAGTCACACTGATTTAGAGAGGCTATTCACGTTTGTTAGTTCAAGATTTGATTATTGTAATGGACTTTATATTGGTGTCCTTCAGTCTTCCCTAAGACCACTTCAACTCATCCAAAACCCCGCTGCTCATCTTTTAACCAACACTTCTAGACATGAGCATATCCCATTTTTATCTTCTTCAATTTGGCTTGTTTTCAAAGCTCATAATAGCATTGCCCCAATTTATTTATCTGAACTTTTAAGTTTTACTGTACGGGAGATCCCTGAGGTTATCAAATCAACCTTTATTAGACATTCCAAGGACAAGGCGAAAGCATTGGGTTGACAGGGCCTTTTCAGTGCCAGCACCCCAACTCTGGGACAAACTTCCAGACCTTAGCTCCATGTCCGACCAGGGAATCTTTAAGTCTAAGCTCTGGACTTAACTCTTTATTAAGGCCTTTATACCATGTAGCATAATGACCTTTTCCTTATATTCCTTATTTTTATTTTCATTGTTGTTTTTGTGTTTGCTATTTTTAAACCAGCTCTGTTTTCTACCCAGTGCGATACACCCACATCAATTCCTGCCCCTCTATAAAGATGTTTGGAATAATCTATTTCCTGAAACACATGTCTGTATTTAGACTAAGATACTGAAGATTTGTTCCAGTATATACTGTAACTGGAAAAAATAACCAACAGCAAAGAAATAATCTTCAAAACAAAAGCACTGTCCAATGGATCAAAAATAATCAATAAAGTCGATGAGAAGAGGTACGTAGTTCTGGGAGTCCAGGATGGATGAAGAGGGCTGATTTCCAACACAGATAAACAATGGGACACATCTGGAACCACAGCAGGAGAACTTCTCTGGAAAATTGTTAGCCTATTTTTAACTCCAGTAAGCCGGCAGTGTTTACTTCCAGTGAATCTAAATCCCTTCAACAAGATGTGGGAACAAGAATTAACATATTTATTTGTATAATTATCTTTATCACATGTAAAGCAAGATAAAAAAGAAGAAATTATGACTTGTTATATTCACATATCAGTTTTATCTATTTCAGCTTTCTAACAGGGCTAAAGTGTAAATTGAACAGTGCAATACAAAATAATGGATAATGGTGTTTGGAACTAAAAGCACTCAGCTGCACCAGTTTTA